CATGAAGATAATCCTTGTATTCTAGCTCTACTACTCATGAGGATAACCCTTGTATTCTAGCTCTACTACCCATGAGGATAACCCTTGTATTCTAGCTCTACTACCATGAGGATAACCCTTGTATTCTACCCATGAGGATAATCCTGTCTAACTGGGGATAATCCTTGTATTAATACTAGTAATCCTTGTATTCTCCACTACCATGAGGATAACCCCTTGTATTCTAGCTATACTACCCATGACGTTCCCATCAATGACCCAGAAATATATCATTAATACTAGTACTCCACTGGTTTGTATACACTACGTTCCTCAATGACCCAGAAATATATAGGCCGACCTGATGACCTAGCTAGCTCCGTCCAAAGGGAAGCAACAGAGAGTTCTGACTAATGAGAGTTCAGATTGCATCGACCAAACGGAAAGTCTCATGCCCTACAGCCTTGGGTCATCAGCTCTGTATATTACTTTAACATCAGGAAAGGTAGGGTTCGTTTGACTTCCGTGAAATAGTCATAAATATAGACAACTTAACAACACATATTGGTTGCCTCGTGTATTTGCGGGTAATTGAGGAACACTGAGCATTCAAACCCTTGAAGCAACGCACTAGTTAGTGGACACTTATCAATCCCGGAAAGTAAGCTGCTTTAGTTGCATGAGATCAAAGATAAGCCAGGAACGAGTCTAATAGGTAACTGTATGAGAACAAATGAAAGGGCGGAGGAGAAATATTAGAAAGCCATCATAGAGACTACGTCAGTCCTGTCTACCGAAACATGAAAGGAAGAGAATAGGGTTATACTGACGGAAAAAAGTTACTGTGCTTCACATAAAATTCAATAATATATATATATATATATATTTTAAGAAATTATACAATGTATCTTTCAATACATTTCACATGGGTATATCCTTGACTTAAAGGCCCGACCTACAACTTAGATGCTTGGGTGGTTGTTTGGAGATGGTTTCTCAGACACGTGTTTTTGATTGTTTAGCTAATAGGTGCTCATACAAAACTCTTTGTTAAATGACGCCGTAAATAATATCTACGCAATGCTACGGCTGCTATAACCAACGTCTACGTTGCAGGTATGCAGCAGACAGTAATGGCGACAGAATTGGAAGATCATCGAAAGATCAATAACAAAATAGTATCTCTTTGGAGACCTTATCTACAGCATGGCAACACTGAAGACTTGCCACGGGCCGGTCGTCCACGTGTGAGCTCACGTCAGCAAAACTACGATATCCGGCTGGTGCCGAATTGATACCGAAAACACTGATAGATCAAATAATTCCTTGATTGAGACCAGTTACTGGAAGAAGCGTACGCAGCAGTAGAAGACAAGGCTGGAGCAGTATACCGTTCACACATGAGTCTAAGTCTGCACAGCCCTTATTGTCATGATGGAGCCTACGTGCATCCAGGAGGACGTATTACCGACGTTGCCAGACGTCGTCAGTATGTGGGTGGTTGTGTAACGGTATCTGGTGGCATCAGAAAACATTGCAGGGCCCAGCTCACCATTTTAATGGCGACCTTAATGGGGACGGCCTCGTTCAAGATCATGTTGCTGCAGTTGGGTGGACGTCACGCCACCTTGCAGGTGTTGTTACAGACGTTTTGAGGTAGCATAACATGGCTGTACCGCCATGGCCGGCTGTTTCTCCACACACCTCCCTTACTGAACATGGCTGGAGTGAAAACAGAACCAGAAGCTGCCGGTAACGCCAGCTCAGTTGAGCCAATCGTTGGTTAACATTTAAACATCACACAAGCTGTTTTCAATCATCCGGTGTCTTCAACACGTAGTCTGTATGAAAGCGAATGGTGGTCACATCCAGTATTACCTTTGTTAACAGAGTTGCTACACCATCTGTATTTAAAGGCATTTCACCGTTTCCTATTACCAGATATTGGTTTGGTCAATTAAATGTTGTTATGACTAATTATTATTGTATTATTTTCAGTTTCATAACATTACAATAACTTTATATGAGGCACAGTTACTTTTTCCCGCAAGTATGTAAATAACATTTCAATATCAGAAATGTTCTAACTACAATACTAATGTGACTCACCAACATGCATATCCTTAAGACAGATGTCCTCGACACTTGCAAGAAATATAAATATATACAGTAAAGGTTCATGCCACCTGCTGTATATGTTAGTTGCAATGCGTATAACGAACTAGGGTTATAACGAACTATATTCCCTCCTCCCTGGTCCCAGTTCGTTATAACCGTTGTTGACTGTAACTCCGAAATACTGGGGAAAGCAGGATATATTTACGTTAAACGATTTCCACTCTTCTTGAAGACAGACATCAGGTCTCAAATCAATATGAAACGTCATATTGCAAGCCACTGGTCTAAGGAGTCGCAGGTACATAGTTGCGCACCTGGATGCGCAGATGATTGGTTCGAGTCCCAGATTTGACATGATTGTGATCATTGGTTTTTCATCACCCTGCTTGTATTCATGTCTGTCTCTAAAATCATGAATGACATGAATGAAGTCGGACTTTCCTCACTCATCACGCTGACATTCACTGACATACCTGAAACACTGCTAAAAGTGGCGTTAAACATACTCACTCACTCACTCACTCATTACGCTGACATTCACTGACATACCTGAAACACTGCTAAAAGTGGCGTTAAACACACACACTCACTCACTAATCACGCTGACATTCACTGACATACCTGAAACACTGCTAAAAGTGGCGTTAAACACACTCACTCACTCATCATCGCTGACATTCACTGACATACCTGAAACACTGCTAAAAGTGGTGTTAAACACACTCACTCACTCACTCATCACGCTGACATTCACTGACATACCTGAAACACTGCTAAAAGTGGCGTTACACACACTCACTCACTCATCACGCTGACATTCACTGACATACCTGAAACACTGCTAAAAGTGGCGTTACACACACTCACTCACTCACTCATCACGCTGACATTCACTGACATACCTGAGACACTGCTAATTCACTGACATACCTGAAACACTGGTGGCGTTACACACACTCACTCACTCATCACGCTGACATTCACTGACATACCTGAAACACTGCTAAAAGTGGCGTTAAACACACTCACTCACTCACTCATCACGCTGACATTCACTGACATACCTGAAACACTGCTAAAAGTGGCGTTAAACACACTCACTCACTCATCACGCTGACATTCACTGACATACCTGAAACACTGCTAAAAGTGGCGTTAAACACACTCACTCACTCATCACGCTGACATTCACTGACATACCTGAGACACTGCTAAAAGTGGCGTTACACACACTCACTCACTCATCACGCTGACATTCACTGACATACCTGAAACACTGCTAAAAGTGGCGTTAAACACACTCACTCACTCATCACGCTGACATTCACTGACATACCTGAAACACTGCTAAAAGTGGCGTTAAACACACTCACTCACTCATCACGCTGACATTCACTGACATACCTGAAACACTGCTAAACGTGGTGTTAAACACACTCACTCACTCACTCATCACGCTGACATTCACTGACATACCTGAGACACTGCTAAAAGTGGCGTTAAACACACTCACTCACTCATCACGCTGACATTCACTGACATACCTGAAACACTGCTAAAAGTGGCGTTAAACACACTCACTCACTCATCACGCTGACATTCACTGACATACCTGAAACACTGCTAAAAGTGGCGTTACACACACTCACTCACTCACTCATCACGCTGACATTCACTGACATACCTGAAACACTGCTAAAAGTGGTGTTAAACACAATTTACTCACTCACGCGAAACAACGGGTCATTACAGACTAATGTTTATTGCTACAATTATACGTGGCATGAAGGATGAACTGTACACTCCACGGAGATAACCGTTTCCACTGATTGCTGCAGAGTACATGTACGACAACTATATTTGTAGGCTTGGTAAGGCCGATAATATCTATTAAGTGAGCCCTCACAGTTAAACACATTTTGAAAACGATATTACTTCATGCAGTACAGAAATCTAACATTACTCGGTTTTAAGACGCCCCTTTACCAGATTCATAACAGTATACTGCATAAAGAACACATACACCTCATAAGAACGATTGGGAGTTAACAATGACACAGAGTCCACAGATTTCAGATTAAACAAACGAGAAAACATAAGGCAAGGTAAATATAAGCATCGTTTTTATGCCACCCACTGGGAATGTCAGATTTTTTTAGTTTAAGTTTGCATATATATATATATATATATCATATGAAAATTATCCGACATATACAAAAAGTTGGTATCTAGCTTTTACCTAACACTTGCAACACTTACTACTTCAAACATGATCAAATACACCAATATATCTACAATGAGTGAAAATGGAAATGTAACCTTAAGAGTGATCAAGTCCATGGGTTTCTCGCGTCTGTTCACTGTATATCTACATACAACATGAGCATGTCGTTTTGTTTACAAATGTTACACTTGTGTATTTGTTTTCTGTTGTTCTCAGTCCCAAACGTGCAGATTTTGAAATAAATTACAGCCTAGTTCTCATTCTTAAGAACACATGATACTTATTTTCATTCCATTTTATACAAGTTTTTCTCAAATGTGTGATTTTGCAGATCACGTGGGCCAAACTTGCCCTCACCCTACCTAATCTGATATAAAGGGTAAGTTTTTACTTTTACTGTTACTGAATGCGCCATTAATTCTTTTTACATCGTTTAAAAATATGAATTCGTTTTTTTGTTTACTAACTCTAAATAAACAACCAACAAGGTTTGTGTATATTTTCGTTGACCACACCTTCCAAATATTAGATTTAGTTCTACGTGGCATCCTGTTCCTTGAAGAGACCTCAACACAGCACATGCCGTGGTACAAATCTTCCCCCAGAGGAGGAAGACTCCACCCTTAAGACACCCGTCACAATATCACAGTTGTGTGCTATTAATAATAACGGGACCTACAATGCCGATGTAGACGTCGTCTGGCATGACCTGGACACCGACACTGCGTCTCTCCGTCTGCATCTGGCTGACAGTGGGGACAGACATCTTCACCCTCCCCGTGATGGTCGTTGCTTGCGGAACCCCCGTATTTGTCCCCTCTTGAAGGTCGATACCTCTGTACAGAGCCCAGAACTGTGGGGAGAGAAGAATCACAATACAACTCACCATATTATTGCGATATTCACACAGTTCTTTCTATTTACATCAGCTTTAAGTGAGTGAGTGAGTTTAGTTTTACGCCGCACTCAGCAATATTCACCTATATGGCGGCAGTCTGTAAATAATCGAGTCTGGACCAGACAATCCAGTGATGAACAGCATGAGCATCGATCTGCGCAATTGGGAACCAATGACATGTGTCAACCAAGTCAGCGAGCCTGACCACCCAATCCCGTTCGTCGCCTCTTACGACAAGCATGGGTCATTGAAGATCAATATTCTAAGCCGGACCTTCACGGGTCACATAAGCTTTAATGAATGTTGAAATGTCAAATGTGTTTGTCAAGTGAAATTTACTTTTCGATCGACCTAAGTTCATGAGTAGAAGTGAAGAAGATCAATAAGAAATAGTTTCAAAAGAAATAATATGTGATGATCTGATGCAAATGATCTCTCTGTTATGTATGTTACTGATTATCAAGGCCTTTGTCTGAACAAATATAGTGTTGTTAGGAACAGTCTGAAAGTTGTTCCGGCATAAGGTGTCATTTCACTCATTTGAAATATGGACATATGTTTCCGTGTAACCCCAGTAACTCATTCCTAAATGTTATAATCCAAGCAGTCAATATCCTTTTGTAATGTCGACTGGAATATTTTATAGGAACAAAAAAACTGAATTATTATAGATAATTTGCTAATGACTGTAATATCTGTAATAGCTCGTGTTGATATTATCTGATTGGAGGATATGGGTAGCAAGGGTTTCCGGAGAAACACGATCGATTTAGTTTGGTCTCTTATAACGAAGCCGGAAGTAATTGCAAAACCCATAAATGGGCGTAGTTATTTTACATAACGTTGCCAGTTCAGTCAGTGTACGTGGTGCGTAGGATTCAAGCCATCTACACACAACATGGAATTATATTTAATCGATTACTTTTACTTTGGGGAAATACATTTTAAAAAATTACTTTGAAAAATATATAACCATTTTACTACCTCCCCATCTCCCACCCCTACTTATAACCTCCTTTTCATCCTTCGTCCTCTAGATTACTTTCACTTCATGTTCATGTAAACACGATTACGCAATTACTTATTCTTAGTAATGTGTGTGCAATGTAAGCTGATTACCGTCGTGTGATGAGATTAACTGTTCCCTACAAGTGCCGTCGTTGTGTTCGATCGATCTAAGAATGTGTTACAATCAATGCATCAATGAACTACCCACTCGGCCTCTAGTTGCATCTAACTGTTCTCTTAATGAATCCTATGAATGCATTCATGTGTTAACTACGAACGACGTATTGTCTTACTTTTGGGGCGAAGATAAGCGTCATTGTGATGGTGACGAGAGCCTGCAGCTTGGCCATCAGAAGGAGGTACACGATGTCCGGGCCTGCCGACACCGCGATGAACTGACTGAAATATTCATCAACGACATGTCACATGACTGAAACATTCATCAACGACATGTCACAAGATTGAAACATTCATTAACGGCATGTCACATGACTGAAACATTCATCAACGACATGTCACATGACTGAAACATTCATCAACGACATGTCACAAGATTGAAACATTCATTAACGGCATGTCACATGACTGTAACATTCATCAACGACACGTCACAAGATTGAAACATTCATCAACGGCATGTCACATGACTGTAACATTCATCAACGACATGTCACATGACTGTAACATTCATCAACGACATGTCACATAACTGAAACATTCATCAACGACATGTGACATGACTGAAACATTCATCAACGACATGTCACATGACTGTAACATTCATCAACGACATGTCACATGGCTGAAACATTCATCAACGACATGTGACATGACTGAAACATTCATCAACGACATGTACGTGATAAACCTCCACCAACATGAAGTCACTGAACCAGTGACACATCTCAACGACACATCAGTTTATTGAAACACACAAGGTGATTCCCAACAACGACATATGAATTTGTTGAAAAAGGCACAAGGGTGGACATTTCCGCTTCAGTCTAAATCCATTTCATGAACTACATATTGATGTGCAATTTGAAGTGAGTTTGAAATAACGAGTTTTCACGGTCAGTGTGAGCAGAGTAAGGTCTAATGGTCCTGTATGGGACGGGGTAAAGTATAATAGCTGTTAGTATGACGGGGTAAAGTATAATAGCTGTTTATGTGACAGGGTGAGGTATAATGGTTGTTAATGTGACAGGGTGAAGTATAAGAGTTGTTAGTGTGACGGGGTTAAGTATAATAGTTGTTAGTGTGACGGGTTAAGGTATAATAGTTGTTAGTGTGACAGGGTAAGGTATTATAGTTGTTAGTGTGACAGGGTAAGGTATAATAGTTGTTAGTGTGACGGGGTAAGGTATAATAGTTGTTAGTGTGACAGGGTAAGGTATAATAGTTGTTAGTGTGACAGGGTGAAGTATAATAGTTGTTAGTGTGACAGGGTAAAGTATAATAGTTGTTAGTGTGACGGGGTAAGGTATAATAGTTGTTAGTGTGACAGGGTGAAGTATAATAGTTGTTAGTGTGACAGGGTAAAGTATAATAGTTGTTAGTGTGACAGGGTGAAGTATAATAGTTGTTAGTGTGACAGGGTGAAGTATAATAGTTGTTAGTGTGACGGGGTAAGGTATAATAGTTGTTAGTGTGACAGGGGTAAGGTATAATAGTTGTTAGTGTGACGGGGTAAGGTATAATAGTTGTTAGTATGACAGGGTGAAGTATAATAGTTGTTAGTGTGACAGGGTGAAGTATAATAGTTGTTAGTGTGACAGGGTGAAGTATAATAGTTGTTAGTGTGACGGGGTAAGGTATAATAGTTGTTAGTGTGACAGGGTAAAGTATAATAGTTGTTAGTGTGACAGGGTAAGGTATAATAGTTGTTAGTGTGACGGGGTAAAGTATAATAGTTGTTAGTATGACGGGGTAAAGTATAATAGTTGTTAGTGTGACAGGGTGAAGTATAATAGTTGTTAGTGTGACGGGGTAAGGTATAATAGTTGTTAGTGTGACAGGGTAAAGGTATAATAGTTGTTAGTGTGACGGGGTAAAGTATAATAGTTGTTAGTGTGACAGGGGGTAAGGTAAAGGTATAATAGTTGTTAGTGTGACAGGGTAAGGTATAATAGTTGTTAGTGTGACAGGGTAAGGTATAATAGTTAGTAGTTAGTGTGACAGGGTAAGGTATAATAGTTGTTAGTGTGACGGGTAAGGTATAATAGTTGTTAGTGTGATGACGGGTAAGGTATAATAGTTGTTAGTGTGACAGGGTAAAGGTATAATAGTTGTTAGTGTGACAGGGTAAGGTATAATAGTTGTTAGTGTGACGGGGTAAAGTATAATAGTTGTTAGTGTGACAGGGTAAAGTAATAGTTGTTAGTGTGACAGGGTAAAAGTATAATAGTTGTTAGTGTGACAGGGTGAAGGTATAATAGTTGTTAGTGTGACAGGGTGAAGTATAATAGTTGTTAGTGTGACGGGGTAAGGTATAATAGTTGTTAGTGTGACAGGGTAAAGTATAATAGTTGTTAGTTGACAGTGTATAATAGACAGTATGACAGGGTAAGGTATAATAGTTGTTAGTGTGACAGGGTAAGGTATAATAGTTGTTAGTGTGACAGGGTAAAGTATAATAGTTGTTAGTGTGACAGGGTAAGAAGTATAATAGTTGTTAGTGTGACAGGGTAAGAGTATAATAGTTGTTAGTGTGACAGGGTAAGTGTTAGTGTGACAGGGGTAAGGTATAATAGTTGTTAGTGTGACAGGGTGAAGTATAATAGTTGTTAGTGTGACAGGGTAAGGTATAATAGTTGTTAGTGTGACAGGGTGAAGTATAATAGTTGTTAGTGTGACAGGGTGAGGTATAATAGTTGTTAGTGTGATGGGGTAAGGTATAATAGTTGTTAGTGTGACGGGGTAAGGTATAATAGTTGTTAGTGTGACAGGGTGAAGTATAATAGTTGTTAGTGTGACAGGGTGAAGGTATAATAGTTGTTAGTGTGACAGGGTAAGGTATAATAGTTGTTAGTGTGACAGGGGTAAGGTATAATAGTTGTTAGTGTGACAGGGTAAAGGTATAATAGTTGTTAGTGTGACAGGGTAAGGTATAATAGTTGTTAGTGTGACAGGGTAAGGTATAATAGTTGTTAGTGTGACAGGGTAAGGTATAATAGTTGTTAGTGTGACGGGGTAAGGTATAATAGTTGTTAGTGTGACAGGGTAAGGTATAATAGTTGTTAGTGTGACAGGGTAAGGTATAATAGTTGTTAGTGTGACAGGGTAAGGTATAATAGTTGTTAGTGTGACAGGGTAAAGTATAATAGTTGTTAGTGTGACAGGGTAAAAGTATATATAGTTGTTAGTGTGACAGGGTAAGGTATAATAGTTGTTAGTGTGACAAGTATACAGGGTAAGGGTATAATAGTTGTTAGTGTGACAGGGTAAAGTATATAGTATAATAGTTGTTAGTGTGACAGGGTAGAAGTATATAATAGTTGTTAGTGTGACAGGGGTAAGGTATAATAGTTGTTAGTGTGACAGGGTAAGGTATAATAGTTGTTAGTGTGACAGGGTAAGGTATAATAGTTGTTAGTGTGACAGGGTAAAGTATAATAGTTGTTAGTGTGACAGGGTAAAGGTATAATAGTTGTTAGTGTGACAGGGGTAAGGTATAATAGTTGTTAGTGTGACAGGGTAAGGTATAATAGTTGTTAGTGTGACAGGGTAAGGTATAATAGTTGTTAGTGTGACAGGGTAAGGTATAATAGTTGTTAGTGTGACAGGGTAAGGTATAATAGTTGTTAGTGTGACAGGGTGAAGTATAATAGTTGTTAGTGTGACAGGGTAAGGTATAATAGTTGTTAGTGTGACAGGGTAAGGTATAATAGTTGTTAGTGTGACAGGGTAAGAGTATAATAGTTGTTAGTGTGACAGGGTAAGGTATAATAGTTGTTAGTGTGACGGGGTAGGTATAATAGTTGTTAGTGTGACAGGGTGAAGGGTATATATAGTTGTTAGTGTGACAGGGTAAAAGGTATAATAGTTTGTTAGTGTGACAGGGTAAAAGTATAATAGTTGTTAGTGTGACGGGGTAAGGTATAATAGTTGTTAGTGTGACAGGGTAAGGTATAATAGTTGTTAGTGTGACAGGGTGAAGTATAATAGTTGTTAGTGTGACAGGGTAAGGTATAATAGTTGTTAGTGTGACAGGGTAAGGTATAATAGTTGTTAGTATGATAGTGGGTTAGGTATAATAGTTGTTAGTGTGACAGGGTGAAGTATAATAGTTGTTAGTGTGACAGGGTAAGGTATAATAGTTGTTAGTGTGACAGGTGTGAAGTATAATAGTTGTTAGTGTGACAGGGGGAAGACATAATTGTTAGTGACAGGTTTGTGTGACATGAAAAGACTAGTTGTTACGCCAAGGTATAATAGTTGTTAGTGTATCACGGCAGGGAACACCAGATAATAGCTGTTAACATGACCATGTAAGGAATCGAATAGGGTGTTAGTGTGACTGGGTAAGGTATAACGCTTTTAACCACTAGTGTGACACCGGTAAATAGTTGTTAGCGACGGGGTAGGGTATAATTGTCGTTAGTGTGACGGGGAAGATATAATTGTTGTTATTGTGACGCGGTAGGGTATATTTGTTGTAGTATGACGGGGTAAAGTTCAATACCTTTGCGTTAACAGAGGGAGATCAACTGGTCGTTAGTATGAGCAGGGAAAGGTATAATAATTGGGAAGATACGTAGCGTATAGTCATTAATGTGAAGCTCTGATGAGCATTAGTTATCAAGGTATAGTAGTTAGCGTAAGCAGGCAGTTTGACTCGATAATCGGAGCATTGAGGACAAAAGGTCGTTAGGTTTGAAAGATGATAGATGCTTTTGATGAACACCACTCTGGTAAAACAAAGGCTCACGCTTAAAAGATGAGTTTTTGGAAGTTGCCATTACTATTACCGTAGCGGATACGACCCCAAGAACGACATTGATGATGTTCCATTCTAATGAAGCTAAAGCCTTTCTTGTTTTATCGAGTAGTGAGTTTAGAGTAGTTACCTGTGTCTCCGCCTACAGCTGCAGAACAAAGTAAGCGTTTGATCACTTACTTGAGAATGAGGATGAAGCTGCCGAGGATGATGGCGTTGTACGTAGACCACGTGATGTGTTTGCTTTCGTTGAAGTGAGCAGGTGCCTTCCTGACCGTGAAACACAGGTACACCCCGAACAACAACAGGAGCGCCTCAGCTGAGGGGGACATGGTGACATGTAACGCAAAGAAACTCAATACCTGAAGGAGTCTCACTGTGTCGCCTACATGAATGAAATGGCGTAAGTATAGCCAAAAGCGGCGTAACACGTCACTCACTCTCTAACATGTGTTCGGTAGTCGCTATGATACATTCTGGACCCTGTGACCCTATATGATGACTACAGCCGGCAATGATCACATGTAAACACATTATCCGAACCAATCAATATTTATTAGTGAGTGAGTTTAGTTTTACGCCGCCTTTAGCAATATTCCAGCAATATCAAGGCGGGGAACACCAGAAACGGGCTTCACACATTGTGCTCATGTGGGGAATCGAACCCGGGTCTTCGGCGTGATGAGCGAACGCTTTAACCACGAGGCTACCACCGCCCCCAATAATTTTTAAGTAAAGTCAAGTATGCAATCAAATCATGAGTGGCGTCACCGTTCGGGTTTACGAAACTATTTCATTTTACAATTACACAAACTCTGTGTGTTTCGCTTAAGCTTGCCTTCAATAGTAATTATTAATTATAATCGCAAGATGATAGCCATAAATGTCACATAATATGCTGTGAATACGAATGCCACTTACTGATAATAGATCATTTCAACTTGTCCAGAATGAATACACAGCATCCACTAGAAGGTAGAGTTTTGTGGCAGATCATTCAGGACCACGTATGATCAAACACGGAGTCTGCTGTATGGTGTTGGAGATACTGTGGCTAACAATGCTATACATGGAACAACACAAGGTGGCGGTAGCGGTGCCCAACTTGAAATCAGGTTGAAGTGTCACCATCACTGTGATTAAGTGAGTGAATGAGTGAGTTTGGTTTTACGCCGCTTTTAGCAATATTCCAGCAACATCACGGCGGAGGACACCAGAAATGGGCTTCACACATTGTACTCATGTGGGGAATCGAACCCGGGTCTTCGGCGTGACGAGCCAACGCTTTACCCACTAGGCTACCCCACCGCCCCCTGTGATTAAGACTAAATGCCTTTTAGGGAGTGGTCAGAAGTAACATGTGTTAGATTTGGGACAGGAATGACTTCCTTTACGGTATTGAGTACTCCTAGCTTTAGGCAATAGGACCCGTACCACCTGGTCAGTGGAGTCCACGTACCCATCTCGAGTATCAGCTGGTCAGTGGAGTACACGTACCCATCTCGAGTACCAGCTGTCGGGCTTTCATCCGCAGTGGCTGAGTGGGCTAGATCGCCCACTTTGAGTGCTGGCGATTTGCTGAGATTGTGACTGGAATCCCGGAGGGAACTCAACCCCCCAAAAGTACTAGAATTTGTACTTTACTCAGAAGGCGTAATCCAAAATATAACATGCTATCACTGTAATTGAAATTATATATAACAAGATGGCATGGTCATCAGTATCCCCCGCCACAGTGTTCTATTCCTATTTGCTTCCTGTGTTTTTACTCCACCACAACATTCATGTCCTGAAAACACATACCACATTTGGTTTCCCTATCTATAACGGTTTCTGAGGAAATCTGCCCGCATTGGGGATAACGTGCACTAAGTCAAGAAACGCATGACAAGGGCCATAACTCTGTAACAAATTGTAACATGGTTTCCGTTTTCGAACTCCATCAAGGCATGTGTGTCCTAAAAACACATTCCAAATTCGGTTTCCCTATCTATAACGGTTTCTGAGAAAATCTGTCCCCATCATCTCGCGCGTACGGACGGAGCTCAAACCTATATCCCCTCCCATTTCGTGACGGGGGTGGGGGGGGGAGAAGATAATAAACACGCCATGACTAACGGTACATCTACATACAGCTAAATGCACCCTTACTTATGTAAATGTACGCTTAGATAAACACACCCACCTCCATATATGGCAAACATCCACCATGTAGGCCCACAATGAAAGAACTTGAGTGAGTTGGAGGCGGTGATAGTGACGGCCCGTGGCGGCTCTATTGCCGTCCAGCACGACAAATACACCACGACGACCACGACAATAGGCACAAGACGATGTAGCAAGGATTTGTCGGGCAGGCTGATTCGCTTCACTGAACCCACGCTGAAAATCACGGAGATTCTGAAAGAGAAATAGTAAAAGTAAAATATTGTTTTGACCTTGCCATTTGCAAAACATCACTGACATCAATAAAACGAAAACAGAACCAACAAGCCCAGTGTTTCTCTTGCAGGCTGGCGATCTGCATTCGCATAGAGATGATTTCACGTTTAGGTTTTCATTTGCTATGTATTAAGGGCCAAATATGATGAAGATAATCTGTTTACACGACGTTGCATGACTTGCAACGACCCACCACCCCCATCCCCTAACAGGACCCACGTGGAACTGGACGAATCTGTCCCATGTACATACATTTAGGAGATAACTGTACTGTGTTTGACGAATTGGGGACGTATACTGGTGGTTATATAGCCGCAAATGTAGTTATATCGGCGACGCGTAAGCTATAACGCGGGAAGACCTAGGGCTTCTGCAAATGATAATGCCCTGAAAAACAGCGTTTCCCCCATAGTGTAGGGATACATTTAAAAGATTTGGTGAATCGGGTTTTAGATTGCGACCGTATATGCTGATTATGCGGTCGGAAATTTATATCATTGACCAATCAGAATTCGTGTTACATACTAAGTTGAATTAGATTCAGCTTATGAGAGCGAACTATGGGATAGCAAATGTGGTGCCATGCGTCACGGGAGTGAGTGAGTGAGTGAATGGGAGATTTACGTGGGTGAATGAGTGAGTGAGTGAGATAACTGGAAAAAACCTTCAGAAATGCAAAGTAAAATATAAACTCAGGGTCAGGGTGTTGTTGTACAATGCGATCTCAGCAATAAACCTAACTCCCATTCGTAGACCTACGATTGTTGGGGCGTTGTGGCTATATTGTACAGCGACATTGGATCGTGCATGCGTCACTCGTCAAGCAGGAAGACTCGGGTACACCTGTACTAGCCAAGGTGCGTGTTACCTGACACCATCCGGGAATACAACTGGAGGTAGTTCATTGATCTACACTAACGAAGGTATCCTGTCGCTCTGACTGTGAAATACCGGTGATTGCAAGTCGTGATTACAGGAACTACAACTCAATCCTCAATCCTCAATCCGCGTGATAACGGAGCATGTAATGGTCATGTTTGAACACGTTGTTTACTGCTGCACGTGTCACGAGCACACTGTGTCCAGGTAATTACTGATAGTAATCATTATTCGTCCCTACTTATGATCACTGAACGTTTGCTCTTGTGTCTGAAAGAACGTGTATACGGGGACCAACCATTAATTAATATTCTGTAAGCATTTGTGTGCGTGTTCTGTTCTAAATTTAATTAGGAGATAAACATGCTGTGTTGGAAAATCAGAGGTATATAACGAAATTATAATATGCGTCGGCGTTACATTCCGAAAACGGTCCATGGATATTACTATACTCTCCACAGCATATGTACATCTTCAGACATTAACATCATAAATAATTTTGTCAAGTTCTTAGAACATGTTTATTCTGCTCCTGTTAGCGCGGTTGTGTGAAAATGGTAACTAAAACCACTATTGTACCACCTTGTATGATTGGTCGTATGGCCTTTATAAAATATAAACCCTTCTTCTTCTTCTATAATAGATCTAAATAAGGCATTTAGTCTTAATCACAGTGATGGTGACAGTCCAACCTGATTTCAAGTTGGGCACCGCTACCGCCACCTTGTGTTGTTCCATGTATAGCATTGTTAGCCACAGTATCTCCAACACCATACAGCAGACTCCGGGTTTGATCATACGTGGTCCTGAATGATCTGCCACAAAACTCTACCTTCTAGTGGATGCTGTGTATTCATTCTGGAGAAGTTGAAATTATCTATTATCGGTAAGTGGCATTCGTATTCACAGCTTAAACCACTAGGGAAAGTTATGTCCATTGTTCTTGGAAGTGTTTTATTAGAATAACTTAATAACTGCCCTTGGGTAATCATTCCTATTTAAAAACAATAAAATTGTACCCATTTTGATAATCTTCAACATGCCTAATACATTACATGCGTATTAAATAAGTATGCCCTCGTGGGGTAAGCTTCTGGTGTCTGACAATAGTATCTTACGGGGTCGTTATGAGTATTTGTATGAGGAAGTGGAGACCCGAGGTGTTAAAAATTGGGCGTATCAGGTTAAAAGTATTTTGTCGAATATTGGATTAAGTGAAATATGGTTAAGGCAGGAAGTACCACTAGATTATCTAATAGTTATAAAACAAAGAATAAATGACCAGGCTATTCAGGTAATCTTTAGTCAGCTGTCCAACTCATCGAAATGTGCAATTTATAAAAATATTATTAACCAGTTTACGCTTCAATATTATTTATGTAAATCTATTCCATATCTTTATAGGAAGCAAAAATTCCTATAAATTCAGACTCAGTTCCCATAATTTAGCAATAGAAACTGGTAGCTTATTTGAGTGGCATGTTTTTGGGCAGAACTACATAGGCGAAACTTCCCGACCCATCAACACCCGAGTGAAAGAACATCAGACCTCTGTTACCAATTCCGACAGCAAATCAGCCATTTCCGACCACATCAAAGCAAGCCCCAATCATCAAATAGAGTGGTCTGACATCACCATTCTCTCTAACAAACAAACAGACTTCACTAAACGCAAGCTCACCGAAGCCATCCACATCAAACGCCAAAAGCCCACCATCAACCGAGACCAAGGATACTTCATTCCATCCGCTTATGATGCACTCATCCACCAAGCCCAATCTACTGTATAAACCCTGCTGTATAAACATCTCATTATTATTTGTACATCATTGGCTTCCACGCCTGTCCTTTGTCTACTCTCTGGCTTCATCAGCTTCCTGCCTAGCCAATTATGTAAATTATGTTGTTTTCTTTGTTACATTGTTACATCCAGTATATATATACTTTCCCCTACTTCATGTCCCATTATGCTTGACAACGGTACAAGAATCTGTATCGAAACGTCGCACTCACGAATAAAAAGAAGATGTTATCCATAAAGTTTGTTCTATATAGAAACTGGTAGGTATGAAAACATAAATCTTGTTAATCGAAAATGTCAAATGTGTAAAGATGATATTGAAGATGAACTACACTTTATATTAAAATGTCCATAATATCATAACTATAGAATAATGTATATTAAACCATTTTATTATAAATGTCCATCAGTATTTAAACTTATTTAACTACTTAGCATTAATAATGTTAAAGTGTTGTGAAATTTAGGGAAATATTTATATAAGGCTTGTTTATTAAGAAAGGAATTAATTAGTAACAGTAATTGTACATCCTCATTTACCTTCATCTCTATTTCACTGTCACCATGTTTGCAAACCTGTACCAATACCGTTGTCATTGTACCTGTTATCTGTACAGATAACGGTAATAAACGAGTCGACTAAGCCGCTTAATCACCCTAACTACGGTAGATATTTAAATAACTTCCTTGTTATGTCACATATGTCCGAAACTTATGGCTATTATTTCACTATTATAATTACTATTGAAGACAAGTATAAATGAAACACACAGAGTTTGGGTAATTTTAGAAAGAAACAGTGTCGTAAACCCGAACGGTGACACCACTCATGATTTGATTGCATTCATGAATACGTATTGGGGGCGGTGGGGTAGCATAGTGGTTAAAGCATTTGCTCGTCACCGCGAAGATCCGGGTTCGATTCCCCACATGGGTACAATGTGTGAAGCCCATTTCTGGTGTCCTCCGCCGTGATATTGCTGGGATATTGCTAAAAGCGGCGAAAAATTATCCAAGCACAATCCAGTAAATATACCTCAAAGTCATGGTAGAATAACAGTTAGTTTCAGGGAAACATTATTTGGCCTCGGGTGGGATATACTGAAAAGAATGTAAAAAGACACGAAAAGGCCTCTTCTAAGATGTTTTGAATACTATTCATACCGCTTGTTTAATATGTCTTAAAGTTCCCCTCAGAGTTTTATAAACTCT